ATTCATTACCTCATTTTGACAAGATAATGTGATAATATTTTATCTATCATATAATTATTATTATTGCGGTTCTGGCTCTGTGACTCTGTATGATTCTGTGAGGTTTGCAAAGTGCTTTGCATACATTATCTCCTTTGATCCTCACCGACTGCCCATCTGGCAGGCAGCCCATGCTGGCTCAGGCACTAGAGGGTGACCCACACCAATTTGGCATGCTGAGCAGGATCCAGGAGGAGATGAGAATATTATGGAGCTAAACTATCATGCAATGGTCCAATACTTCTTGGCAGATGGAGGTTGTGAACCCCCAAAGATGGGGGGGGCACTTGGAAAAGTTAAATAAGAGCATGGCATTCACACAGGCTATGCTGGGGCTGGCATGCCTCTGCCCTCTGCTCTGTTTTCCGTATCCAGAACAGATGTACGCTCTGTGCCCCACTGCCCCAGGCTCCAATTGGATGCCAATCACTGCTGCTCTCCTAGTTGGCTGGTCCAAGTTGGTCAGAGTTAAGGAAAGGATGCGCCAGTCATGGAGAGTTAGGGCGTTTGGAACCATGGAACAGCTACGATGCCTGCACATAGTGCCAATGCCATGGACAGACAGATGAACTTCTTCAGACTGTTACTTTTTAGAAACTGTTGCTGAACCGCAGTTTTGGTCAATGAGCCAGAACAGCCAGAACTCCTGGGAGAAGTTAACCATACAACTGTATAACTCAGAGTCATAACCAGCATGGGGCAAATCGAACTTTGTTCAGGAAGCCAACATTCAGGGGTGCATTTCCTACCCATGGAGACCACTGTGCCTATACACCTCCCCACAAGGTTCTCTGGAGTCATGGGACACAACTATGCCTATCTGCTACACCCAAGGGCCTGTCATGCAGGGCCCCTCACATAGGACCACCTTCCTGTCCATTTCCCTTAGGTCTCAGGGCTGGCATTCTCTGATGGGATGGACTGCCCCTACCTGGCACAAGCACACCTCTGCTCCTTCCTCTAACCCAATTCCCACCCCCAAGCGGCTGAGTTTTCCCTTTGTACAGTTTACGCTAGTTAGGACTGGTCTAGGGGCAGCTAAGTGGCACAACGCCCTGCAGTCAGGAGGACCTGAGTTCAAATCCGGCCTCAGACGCTTGACACTTATTGGCTGTGTGACCCTGGGCAAGTCACTTAACCCCATTGCCTAGCCAAAAGAAAAAAAAAAAAAGACAAACAGGACTAGTTTAGTAAGTATAATGGGAATCAATTAATCGAAAGCATTTATTAAGTGCGTACGGTGTTCCAGGCTACGTGCTAGGCACTGAGGATTCAAGACAAACATAAACAGTCCTTGCGCTCAGGGGACGGCACGATAGCTGACACGCTAACGTCGCTAAAACCCTGTGAAGTAGCCCGTGGAAGGATCGTGGCCATTTCACATGTGTAGGGCCTGTGGCACAACAAGGGGCAGAACCAGGAATCAAAGCTGTCTTTGGCTTCAAGACCAGGCCTCTTCCTATAGATCCATCAACTAGCATTTGTTCGTCAAGATGAGGCATACGTTTTTGGACACGGCCAATGAGGAAATTTGATTCACTTGACTATGCACATTGGTTCTGAGGGGTCTCTGTTTCTTTTTCCAACTGGAGGAAGGAGAGAAAGTAAATGCTTGTTAATTGGAAAAAAATTAAATTTAAACAACTGTTTTAAATGACCATGTACCTGGCTGGCAGTGTGCTGGAGACATAGAAGACAAAAGTAAAAGTCCCTGCCTTCAAAGAGCTGCCATTCCATCGAGAGAGCTAATATAAGTATAGACAGAATCGATTCAATGTAAACACCAGGCAGATTGTACCTCATCTCTCTCGCTCTCATCTTGGCCTCTCAAGTATGGACACCTTCCTAGATCCCTGGCGTTGGGAAGGGAGTTCTGGCAGGGGCCCTGGCTGGATGTGGCTGGCTCCTGCTCCCAGGAGGGCTCCCTGAAATGCTGGGAGAAGAACATGCCCTTCTCAGAGCTCTATGAGCCTCTATGCAAAGATGGCCAGCGGAGCCCTCTTATAACCAGGGACACAGGGGAATAGGAGCAACCTATGGAAGCTGATGAATTCTCTTCAGCCAGGCCCTGGAAGCTCTGGTCTTGGGGTAACTTTTTTTTCTCAGCCAAAGACAAGTGTGATTAGAACATGCACCATACTGGCCAGACTCTTAAGGAATCGAAGCATTTGTATCG